CCCAATTTCTCCCCAAAACAGGAATTAACTAAAAGGGGATGGCGACTAATAACTTATGGACGCATGTGTTCTTATCAGAGGTTTTAGATATTCCCCATTCTTTGGTATCATAATCCTAGACTGGAGCTTGAGTTCATTTTGAGACATGCCCCACTCTTCATCAAGCACTGGGAAAGGTCAGTTGGCAAAAAATGGTTAAGTCAGATGCCTGGCAAATGCAGAAGTGGTTGTCACTAACATACAGATTGTACTGTAGGTATGTGTGCTGTCTCTCAGTACTTCTGTTTCCTTGTCTGTCCACAAAAACATACCCCTTGACTTTGCCTTTCAGACAGAATACGTTTTGTAGAGAAAGATTTAAATGTATTTGTATGACAAACAGAAACAATGGATAGCTTCACAACCAAAACGGGGAAGGGGATTATTTAGAAGAAACAAGTTGCCCTTTTCAAAGAAAAAATATTCAGACACTGCCATAGTTAAATATTCAAGTCTAAATACTTAAAGGTTTTAATTACAAATATTTAACACCTACATAGACCAGATTTTTAAGAGGGGGAAAAGAAAACAACCCAAAAAACCAAACCCAAAATATCCTTTTGCTGTTTTTTTCAACATTATAGTACTATTTGTAGCACCAGAAAATTTATTTTGATAGCTAAAATATATTAGTCTATTTATGAGATTGAATCATTTGCCGAGTAGCTCCTGCGACCAACACTCCTAGTTCTCAGAGAAATTGCATCTTGTAATATTTATTTCAAAACTAGCATGTGCAGGCAGAAAAATGCCAGTGAACTTAAAAAACCACAAGGACCTGGATATTCATTTATATGTCAAAATATTTACCACGAAATTTAATTATTGTTTTAGTCCAAAATGAACACATGTAAGAGAACAGATATGCTTTACACTAGTGTATTAGTTATTTTGACTAATTCTGTAGTTGCAAGAGACAGTTACGTTGTAAATGAAAAGTACACAAAGTTCTGAATTTTGTTATTTTCACCAGATGTAATGCCCAAAGCTCTGAGTAGCACTAGCAACCAGGGGAATTAAAAAGAGCAAATGAGCAAACACTTTTTCACCCTGGGGAAAAAAAAAAAAGGGGGGGGCCCCCCCCCAAGACAAGGACAATTAACTGCAGTGAAAACCAGTTTCTCTTAAGAGCAACATTACTGCACAAGTTCTCAAGATTTCTTTTGATCCAAGTTACTGAACCTGTACTTTGTGATGGACAGCTGGAGAGAGTGGTTTACCTTAAAGTATCTTGAAGAGATGGTGTCCAGTATAGTACAACTTTCACCAAAAATCATCTTACTGCCTCAGAGGCAAGCTTCTGTGAATGCACTTTAAGATTTGGCCTGATACCAGCTTAATGAAGTCCTATAATTTATCAAATCTTTTCTTTAGAGTTTGGTGAGCACTGTCTGTGACTAATGCACCAACATGTTTTTTTTCAATACTGAAGAGAGTCCAAAAATACAGAGTAGTGATTCCAGTAAGAGATGACACCGATGTTCTTTCAAACTGAATTTTGATAGAGATAACGTTTAAGAACATGCATACAGATCTAAGTAAGTTCTGGAAATATTAAGTACTTTGTGCATTTCCTGGCATTTTAATGATTCGTTTCTGTTAAAACTGCTCCTTAAGTAACCTACATTTTTCCTGAACTCTTCCAAAGAAAAAGGAAATGGTATAGAAAAAAATTGTTTCAATGACATTTACTAGACAGGAGTTAAATCAAACTCATTACACCCAAGTATGTAAAACTCAAGTGAAAATTTACCCTCTTTTTTCTTAGCCCCCAGTATGAAGCTGACATGTGAAATAATTTTCTTTTCAGTGGCTTTACCACAGTGCACACATGCAGTCACTGACTGGTTTTGTTTGGAAGGGACCTTAAAAATCATCTAGTTCCAACCCCCCTGCCATGAGCAGTGACACCTTCCACTAGACCAGGTTGCTCAAAGCTCCATCCAACCTGGCTTTGAACACTGCCAGGGATGGGGCATCTATAGCTTCTCTGAGCAACCTGTACCAGTGCCTCACCAACATCACAGTGAAGAATTTCTTCCTAGTATCAAACATAAATCTACCTCTTTCAGTTTAAAGCCATTCCCCCCATCACTACATGCTATATCCACTACAATCATTATACTATTTGCAAAGGATGAAGCTAAGCATTGTTAACTTTGCTTTCAACCTACTATTTTTTGCTTTTAGATATCCAGTTATAATTATGTGACAAACTAGCTGTTTTACCGGAAACATGCAAAACCTCTGCCTCTTACATGACAGTTGAGTAATCTTATATAAGATTTGTACTTGTCTGATTAAACTATAAAGCTTCAGTAACTTTTAAGATTAGAAAGTTTAAACAGTAAGCTATGCCATACAGATTTATCTACTATATTTCATTGCTTACAGACAATTCTAAGCTTCAAACAAAATGTTAGAGAAAATAAAAGACCCTATTATAAGTAAGTTGCTATTAAAATAACACTGTATCAGTGAACCTGTTTTTAAAGGGCTGTCACATCATACTGTTCTATGAATTACTATTAAATGTGGCTAAAGTCACAGGCCTTCAGTAGATGTAGCCATGTACTGAATCTGTACTTGCCTTTCATATTTTAAATATTTACCAAGTATTTTTGTTCTTAAATTGAAATGTATATATAATTATGTCCACATGTGTCTGTATATGGCATGTGCATATGTGACAGAATGTGTACATGCACTTGCATGTGGAGTGGATGGTGTATCCACTCAAATTCTCAACACTTCTAAGTGAACTCCACTTCTTGCTGTGTGTTATGCTCCTTCCCGCAAATGACAGCACAGGATATGTGGTACAGGTACAACATGGTCATCATTTTATATCCTTTAAAGTAGATGTTCCCAAAGTGTTGTCATTACAAATTTCCTCCATTATATAGATTATTTTGCTTGTGCCTCCTTTTCCAAAGACTTTCACCTGGCCTTCTCTGTTGTTTGTTCACTCATACCAAACATACCAAGTCCAGCAACTAACGGTTACAGGAAACTAGAAATCTGTACTTCATCTTTTCAACCCCACCCTCTACCCCTAGTGACAAGAAGTAATTGTTTGGAATGAAAAGTAATGCCTAGTGCGGCATTTTGTGAAAAGATTCCCAAGCTCTGCATTTACAGATACACTGGGTATATAAACTAGGAGCTCTCCTCATGTTTACTGACAGCTTCAACATACGAAAATTTCAGAGCTGAAATTGCAATAGATTTCGATACTGCATGAAGCGCATTAATGCTAAACCTGAAGGATGTATAGTTGGTGTTAAAACTGGGAAGAGTATGACAATACAATTAAGTCACTTCAATGCATCGGTCTGCTGATTATTAGTCTTACTGCTCATACAAGGCCACTGGAAGAAATCAATTACCGCTTTTTATTTTAGACCTAGAAGACTTTTTAAAAACTGTATGCTGCAAACCAGTTGGCACTGCATCAGGAAAGAATGCTAACTAAGATCCCATAACCTTTCACAGAACACTGTGCAGTATTCTCAGAAGAGTGTTTTAAACATAAATAAAATTAAGCTCTTTATGTAAGATGGAATGCTGGTACAGCAGCCTAGAAAGTTATACACACATGGACATCACAGCACTTACACTGTCAGGCTCCTAGCACCAACCACAACAGTGGGTATCACTGGCAAGGTGCTCCCTTTATTACAGTAAGCAAAAGAGAACAGATCTCCCACAGATGGGCCCACCATCACTCCCACCCCCCAGGAAGAGGCAGCAGGATCTCCCTGCAGCCTAAGACCTGAAAGGCAACATCTTCTCTAGCACTGTTGAGGTTAGGACTCAGATATGTCAAAAACAACTGCTCCAGCAACTGTCTCCCTGTGGAATGCGACCATTGTCACTGTACACTTTCAAGCAGTCCCACACCATCTATAGCAGAGCTCTGGAGCCCCTATGCAACCCTGAATGTTTCTGTTAGCTGCATTCTGAGTGCTGCAACCAAGAGGCTGGATGAAAACAGAGTCTTCCAGCTATACCTCTCTCCCACTAAGACTTCTGAAAGTATACAAAATTCCCAGAGTGCTTAACACGCTAACTTCATGATGCAACTTTATATGACGTTATGGAACAAGACTAAATTTATATAAATTTATGATTTTAAAATATTTACAGATAATGACAGTTAGCAACATTTCCCTTACAAAACAGAACCATGTCTGGTGTCAGACCACTTAGGACATAATCAGAAGTGACACTAATTGGGATGATTTGGGCAAGTGGGATAACTGCAGACAGTTGTGGAGGCAAGAAGGCTTCTCCCATTTGTAAATGTCCTGCCTAGTATATTCAGTCATGTTATAAAATTAAAATGCAGACTAAAGAATGTGATTGAACTATTTAAGAATGTACTTCATAGTGTATCGACTTACGACACTGTGCATCTTTAAAAAGTTCTTATATGAAGGACTTTTAAACAGCTTTAAATCAGCTGTACTGTAAAATCCTCAGCAGAATCAGATACACTGAACAGCCAGGGGAACTTGCAGAAGTACTGGAAGAACTTTAGCATACACACTGTGAACAATACTAAAGCTTGCTCAGGCACTGGTAGGACAAAAAAACCTTGTTAATGAAAAACTTAAATAAAAATATGCCACAGAAATACAAGGTCACCCACCCACATTCATTTCAGAGGTTATTACCTTCAGACAGACACTATCGCAGCCAGATACAACTACATTCAGCAGAATGATGTGAAAAGGATTACAGAAAGCATCTGTCATAGCAGATATCATTCAGAAGAGTCACTTAGCTAGCCTTTAAGTGAAGAACCAATGCATTTTCAACACAGCTTACAAAGAGAGAGAACACCGGACAGCAACATTAACTGCAATTCAGTATGTCCACTCTAAAACTGTTTTCTAATGCAAACCACATTGAAACAGATTATCTTTCCATTTTTATCCAATAAAAGGATACCATACCTCACAGTAAAATCATAGGAGCAAGAGGCCAATAAGGTTGCATGGAATGGTGAAAACTGCAAGAAAACAAACCAGAACAACTTTTAAAGTAAAACAATGTGAACATATGCAGTCTTAATATAAACTTGCCAAAGTTTAACTATTTAAACTGTCTTAGTAGGTACCACATCATGCTGCAACAAAACTGACTACACCAACAAATGTCCCTGTTATGCTTCTAATTACAACAAATGCTCTATGGAACCCTGGTTTGGTTTGATTTTATTACAACAGTGCCAAACAACCCTCTTGTAAAGTTAAGAAGTTTTAGGACAGTCATATAAACAGCTATTAAACTCTGCTTTTGGCTGACAAGCTGAGTATCATCTCATATATGAAGTAAGTTTCAGAAAAGCTATGTGAGCAGTTTATTATTTTCAGAGAGAGAAAACTTGTTCCATACTACAAAGAATGTAAGCTATATTACTGTCATCAGTTCCATGTCCTAAAGTTTTGAAATTATTTACAGAGATGGGAAAATTGGAGATATGTTGAAAAACCAAAAGCAATATAACATCACTTCATAATTTTCTCCTCTCCTGCAGGGCATTTTATGGGACATGCTCTTCTGTGGACTCTTGCAGACAGGGCTAAGAACTGAAGCAATAAGGATGCAGTTATGCAAAAGCTCTTCACCTTGGCTCCAGCTATTTGGCAACCTTCAGTTTCCACCTATTTTAAGGTCTGTATTTCTCAACAGGAAATAATGACGTAACTTCAGTTTGGAATGCAGGTCCCCCAGATCATGGTTCAAATATAAAATTTTTCCCCGCAAGACTTTCTCTGCTACTGACAGCTACTACAAAGTCAAAAGTTAAGCCTGGGCTACTGCCATAACTGTCCAAGTTGCCAAGAGATCTGTGTCTGTTGCTGCCTGCTGAACTCTGCTGACAGAGTTCTCTTTACTAAAGCAGAATTGAGGGATGTGCATGCTTGAACTTTACCACCCTCAGATTTCCTAAAAATTTTCTAGAGGAAAAAAAAAAAAAAAGCCAAAACATCTTTTCTTCTGCACCTCAGAAGAGGGAAAGAGAGGCCTGATGTGCAACAAAAACCAGTGTCAGACTTCCCACATGCCACCTTTGCATTTTTGTCCACATAGTTTCAGACGAAGCAAAAACATCTTGTCAAAGCTGAAAAGTTTTGTCATTAACCTTAAGTATCCTAGAAACTTACCTAAGCAAACTGTCTAAATACTTAGCAGTATCTCAACACGTAAGTTGAAAGAATTTGCGCAATGTCTTTCTGCTACAAAGAGAGTATTTTAAAATTCAGTTCCACTGAACTGTAAGATTCTACAATTCTATCAACAGTTGTATGTAAACAGAAGAGATGCATGTCCAACATTTCATAGATCACTCATGTATATATCCTTTTCAGTAAACTCAAAAACTGTAACTACATCTCAGTATAAAACATTGAAGCCAGTGAAGATATGAGAGCCAGCCTGCTACACAGCTTTCTAATTGCTAGCATCAGCACAATGTAAGGGAAAGGACATCAGTAGGGACAGCTGCCTCTATTTAGGCAGAATCCAGGTCTCCATTTAGTATGCCTGCTGAATTACACTGCACAAGAGCAGATTGCTGGGGTGAGTAGCGTGAGAGAGGACGCCTGCAACACCGGAGCGGTGCTAAGCGAAGCGTGATCCGCGTCCAGGAGCCTCACCTCGGAGCGACAAGAGCCACCGAGGAGGGAGCCTCAACTCCTCGACAGGACTTGCGCAGGAGCCGGCAGCTCAGCTCAGCTCACTCGAGGGGCTGACTCACCGGGGGCGGAGCCAGGAGGCTCGGCGGCAGCTGTGAGCGGTTAAAAACCTGCCCTGAGAGCGCGACGGACCAGAGCGGGTCGAGGCAGTTCGCGCGGGTCGGAGAGCGGGATAACCGCCTGGTCAAGAGGACTCGTCTGCAGCGCAGGAGGGGGAAGGACTGCTTGCTTGTGCAGAGAGGCGTAGACGGAACGATCGACCAGATCATGGTCACAACACGAGCAAAAGCTATAGTGAGCAATGACGTGAGTACCCACACTGAGCCTTCCTGCAGACACGCGGCCGTGCAGGTCTCTGGTTGCAGTAAATGACTGAGCCTGCCACTTGTATTGAAGGGAGCCAGTGACACCACTTGTGTGTGGTGTGAGCAAATAAATGATCTGCTCAGGCAGGTGGTTAAACTGAGGGAGGAGGTGGAAAGGTTGAGAGCCATCAGAGAATGGGAAAGTGAAATAGATTGGTGGAGCCACACCCTAAGGCAAGGGCAGAGGGAAGTGGTTGAACAAGTGGTGGATCCCCTTCCCTCCCACCATCAGACAGAAGGAGTGAACTTAAGGGAGAAGGAGGTATGGAGGGAGGTCCCTCCTCAGAGAGGTAAGCGAAAACCCTCACAACCCCTTCCTTCCTCCCAGTTGCCCTTGAATAACAGGTATGAGGTATTGGAACTACAGGGCCAGGTAAATGGAGATGGAGGGGTAGATCTATCTAGTGAGTCACCTAGTGCTTGTCACTCACCCTCATGCCTTAGAACTTCTTCAACCAAGAAGAAAAGAAGAGTAACTGTGGTGGGTGACTCCCTTCTGAGGGGAACAGAAGGGCCCATTTGTTGACCAGATCCATCCCACAGGGAAGTCTGCTGCCTACCTGGGGCTCAAGAGATGTTAAAAGGAAACTCTCCGATCTGGTGCAGCCCTCTGACTACTATCCGCTGCAGGTTTTTCAGGTTGGCAGTGATGAAATTATTACAAGGAGGGCAAGGGCAATGAAGAGAGGCTTCAGGGCCCTGGGACGGTTGGTTAGAGCATCTGGAGTGCAAGTGGTGTTTGCCTCCATACCTGTTACAGGCAAGGGTGAAGAAATAAATGGGGAGAGTCTGCAGATTAATGTATGGCTACGTGACTGGTGCCAAAGGCAGGGTTTTGGCTTTTTTAATCATGGGCTGCTGTATGAGACACCTGGTTTGCTGGTGGCAGGTGGGATACACCAGTCCCAGAGGGGGAAAAGGTTTTTGGGGCAGGAGTTAGCAGGGCTCATTGACAGGGCTTTAAACTAGATATGAAGGGGGAAGGGGAGATAACTGGGCCTGTTGGGGACAGAGAAACATGACAGGGCTTGAAGGGTGAAGTACTAGGGAGGACTGTCAATGTATTGCTTCATTTGAGGGAAAGGATAGACCTTGTCCCGCAGGGGAAAAAGGGTACCAGGGCAAGAGTCAACAGAGCTCACTCACAGAGCTTTAGGTTAGACTCAGAGTACGAGGGGGTTGTAGCTGGGTTTGAACTAGTGGGGCATTGTTCTAGTATTAATGAAGACCAGAAGGCCTCCTGCGTCCCAAGGGTCCCACTAGCAAGCTCTGCCAACTCCCTGAAATGCTTGTACACAAATGCACGCAGCATGGGGAATAAACGGGAGGAGTTAGAAGTCTGTGTGTGGTCTAAAGGTTATGATCTGGTGGCACTTACAGAGACATGGTGGGACAGCTCACATGACAGGAATGTGGTCATGGATGACTATGTCCTTTTTAGGAAAGATAGGTCAGCAAAGCGAGGTGGTGGAGCTGCTCTTTAAGTGAGAGAGCAACTAGAATGTGTTGAGTTCTGTCCAGGCACAGTTGAGGAGCAAGTGGAAAGTCTGTGGGTACGAATTAAAGGACTGGCTGGTACGGGTGATGCAGTTGTGAGGGTCTATTATAGACCTCCTGATCAGGACGAAGGAGTTGATGAGGCTTTCTACAGGCAGCTGAAAGCAGCCTCACGACTACATGCATTGGTCCTCATGGGGGATTTTAACTACCCCGATATTTGCTGGAAGACTTACACAGCCAATCATTCACAGTCTAGGAGGTTCCTCCAGTGCACTGATGATAACTTCTTAATGCAAATGGTGGACAAACCAACTAGGAGAGGAGCGATGCTGGATCTAGTACTCACCAACAAGGAGGGTCTGGTTGAAATTGCATTGGCTGCAGTGACCATGAGATGGTGGAGTTTAGGATCCTGTGTGGGAGGAACAGAATACCTAGCAAGGCCACAATTCTGGATTTCTGAAGGGCTAACTTTGGCCTCTTCTATCAATTGCTAAGGGAAGTCTCATGGGAAAGGGTATTAGGTGATAAAGGGGCTCAAGCTAGTTGGTCAGCATTTAAGGACCACTTCTTCCAAGCTCATGATCAGAGTATCCCAATGGGTAGGAAATCAAGCAAGGGAGCCAGGAGACCAGCATGGTTAAACAAGGAATTGCTGGCCAAACTCATGTGGAAAAAGAGAATCTATGGGTTATGGAAGGAGGGGCTGGCCACTTGGGAGGAATATAGGACAGTTGTTAGAGGATGTAGGGAGGCAATTAGGACAGCTAAGGCTTCCTTGGAACTTAATCTTGCTAGTCGGGTTAAGGACAACAGAAAGGGCTTTTTCAAATACATAGCAGATAAAACTAACACAAGAGGCAATATAGGCCCACTGTTGAACGAGGTGGGTGCCCTGGAGACAGAGGATTTAAGAAAGGCAGAGGTGCTGAATGCCTCTTTGCCTCTGTCTTTACTCCTGCAGATTCTCCCTGGGGGCCCAATATTCCTGTAGCCCCAGAAGGAGTCAAGGACAAAGGAGGAGTTTGCTTTGGTAAATGAGGATTGGGTTATGGATCAGTTAAGCAGTCTGGACATCTATAAATCGATGGGTCCGGATAGAATACACCCACGGGTGCTGAGGGAGCTGGCAGAGGTCATTGCTCGGCCACTCTGCATCATCTTTGGTAAGTCATGGGAAACAGGAGAGGTGCCTGAGGATTGGAGGATGACAAATGTCACACCAGTCTATAAGAAGGGCAAGAAGGAGGACCCGGGTAATTATAGAACGGTCAGCCTTACCTCCATCCCTGGAAAGGTGATGGAATAACTTATTCTTGACACCATCTCTAGACATATCAAGGATGAGGGGTGAGAGCAGCCAACATGGTTTTACCAAGGGGAAGTCATGTTTGACCAACCTTATAGCCTTCTATGAGGAAGTAACTAGGTGGATGGATGATGGTAGAGCGGTAGAAGTAGTTTTTCTTGATTTCAGTAAGGCATTTGATACTGTCTCCCACAGCATCCTCATAGATAAGCTAAGGAAGTGTGGGCTTGATGATCAGGTAGTGAGGTGGATCAAGAGCTGGTTGAAAGGAAGAAGGCAGAGAGTTGTGGTCAATGGGGCAGAATCTAGCTGGAGGTCTGTAACTAGTGGGGTACTTCAGGGGTCGGTGCTGGGACCAGTGCTGTTTAATATTTTCATCAATGACCTGGATGAGGGAACTGAGTGTACCCTCAGCAAGTTTGCTGATGATACTAAACTGGGAGGAGTGGCTGACACACCAGAAGGCTGTGCTGCCATTCAGTGGGACCTGGATAGGCTGGAGAGTTGGGCGGGGAGAAACTTGCTGAAATTCAACAAGGGCAAGTGTAAAGTCCTGCATCTGGGGAAGAACAGCCCCATGTACCAGTACAGGTTGGGGGTTGACCTGCTGGAAAGTAGCGAAGGGGAAAGGGACCTGGGGGTGCTGGTAGATAGGAGGATGACCATGAGCCAGCAATGTGCCTTTGTGGCCAAGAAGGCTAATGGCATCCTAGGGTGTATTGGAAAGGGTGTGGTTAGTAGGTCAAGAGAGGTTCTCCTCCCCCTCTAATCTGCCTTGGTGAGGCCACAGCTGGAATATTGTGTCCTGTTCTGGGCCCCTCAGTTCAAGAAGGACAGGGAATTGCTTAAGAGTCCAGCGCAGAGCCACGAAGATGATTAAGGGAGTGGAACATCTCCCTTATGAGGAGAGGCTGAGGGAACTGGGTCTCTTCAGCTTGGAGAAGAGGAGACTGAGGGGTGACCTCATCAATGTTTACAAATATGCAAAGGGTGGGTGTCAGGATGATGGAGCTAGGTTTTTTTTTCAGTGATGTCCAGTGATACGACAAGGGGCAATGGGTGTAAACTGGAGCATAGGAGGTTCCATGTGAACATCAGGACAAACTTTTTTACTGTGAGAGTGACAGAGCACTGGACAGGTTGCCCAAGGGGGTTGTGGAGTCTTCTACATTGGAGATATTCAAGGCCCGCCTGGACAAGATCCTGTGTGATGTACTCTAGGTTACCCTGCTCTTGGCAGGGGGTTGGACTAGATGATCTTCTGAGGTCCCTTCCAACCCTTGGGATTCTGTGATATGCTGCACCACCTCTAAGTGCTGGGCCACATCCTCATACCTCATGTCCACAGGGATCATGTATATCTTGAAATGGAAGCATGAAATCCTGCTAAGACAGAAGTCATGTACTCTCACATACATCTCTACTGCACATGTAAACACATATAGTCACCCCAACCACCTCCTTAAACCCACTTAGTGAACTGATCTCAGAGGTTGAAATTCTGTAGCTGGCCAACTCCTAATAATAATTTCAAGGCACTTTAAGAAAACAGGGAGCATGATAAAATGGAAACTCGGACAAGACGATATAAGAATATAAAAATACCCTATCTGGTTACGCTAACAGCCTTCAAGACCAGCGCTCTATGTTTACATAGCATCTTTGGTATTTTAGTTTGTACAGATCACCTCTGATCCTCTCACTATATACCACTGAGTCAGGCTTTGTCTTCTCCTTTATGCCAATCATTCATACACAGTGACATGATCCTCCCTGAGCCTTTTCCATGCTAAACAAATCCAGCTCTCAGCCTCTCCTGGTAGGACACAGGCTCCAGTCTCTTAATCTTCTTTGTGACCCTTTGTTGGATTTACTCCAGTATGTCTGTCTTTCCCTTGTACTGGGAAGCCCAGAACTGGACGCAGCACTCCATATGTGGTTTTACTGGTGCAGTGAGTAGTGGGGAAGGATCACCTGCCTCAGCCTGCTGGCACACTCTTAATGCAGCCCAGCATAATAGGGAGTAGAGAAATTAAGAGATGCTATCCCTGTCTAGCTCTTCTAGTATGTTTATTGACCTGCTGCTGTCCATGAACCTGATGACACTGCCTGCCTATGCACCCTTGTGCTGAGAGCTAATTCAAGAAGTCTACAACCTGATGTGTAAAAGTACTTCCATCTGTTTGCAAATCCACCTACTAGTTTCATCAAGTGTCCTTTAGTCCTATTATCACAGGTTATGGTGAATAACAATTCTATATTCACTTTCTCCATTTCATCGTGAAAACAATATGCTATAAATCCCTTAGTGGCAGAGCTGTTTTTCAAAGATACCACTAACTGTCAAAGAGTAAGAATGTGACAGTCTGTATTGATTCATACTTCACTGATTCACCTGTCTTAATGGTTGTCAAACTGGAGTCACAAAATAATCTTGTTTAAAAAACAAATTCAAACACCACTGCTAAATGTTCTTCTGCTGAGAACATTTCACAGAGCCAGGTTAGAGCATGGTCATGCAGGAATTAAAGTACAGAAAAAGACTGGACAGCTACTACCAGTGGGGATAGCAGGCAAGGGTAGCCGGGATAAAGAAAGAGGAACAGAAGCTTCTCTGGCTGTTTGGCCACAAACAGGAGTTGTGATATGGAACTACTCCCTACAGCCACACCCTTTTCTGACAAATTACAACCTGAGCACAGTAACTGTTTAAGTTGTTAGAAACACATAAAAAATTCCAAGGGCATGTGAAGTAAAATACCGACACAGGATATTTTTTTCCTAGAAAATATTATTAAACATTCCTGTTCCTGAAAGCCTTTAGAAGGATCATATATTATCTGACTAATATAGAAAAAAAGCACTGATTAATATGAAAATTAAAAAGTATGCATCTAGAATAAATTCTTATCAGTGGTTGATCTAGTAATAGTCAGACCCAGAATGATCATCTGTAGCCTTTCATGTACAAAGTTTCAAAAACTCTTTGGACATATTAACACTTTCCTTGTGCTCACAAAACTATATATTCACGAGTTCTATACCTTCCCTTACATGAATACTGACCTTTTGTATGGAGAAAAAAAGGCACAGAACCATTGAAAAAACAAACAAGGGAAGGTATTTCCCCTCTCCCAAATCTCCCTTGTAACTTAGCTCTCAAGCTCTTGAACACTCCTCATGGATAATATACTGAATTTGAAGATGTCATTTACTTCGAAATCCCAGCAAACTGCTAAACATCAAAATGTTTTACAGTGCTAAACTGAAGGTTTCCAAGAACAGTCACCATAGCATCTAAAATCTTCACCTGTTGGGGTTTTTTTTCCTAGTTATTAGATATTATACTACTGCTTTCCACAAAAAAAAAAAAAAAAAGAAAAAAAAAAGTGTAACAATTCAGTGGTGTCAATGGGGAATAAAATACAACTTACTTTTAGTCTTCTGATAGCATAGGTATGACCAAGCAAGATGAACACTGGTTGTCGGATATTCCGCAAATCCCAGCCTTTCAAGCTACAGTCAACTGCACCAGTTACTAGCAAGTTCTGATGAGTTGATAAAACACAGATATATCAGGAAAATTTAATTATTAAACTGCAGTGAAGCATGTGTTGGCTATGAAAGTTAAGTAAATCAAACAACAGAAATTAATAAATCATAAATGAGGTCTTCAGCACGTAAATCAAAAGAGAACACAGAAATACAAACTGTTTCTCCACTATGGACTATTCTGTCTACTATACAAAAGAATAATCAAAACCTACGATCCAATTGGGCCATATATCTGTTAGAACAATGCTCTTCTGAAGATGTAGTCATGAATGAGAGCAATAAAGCAACTATACATATTTTTATAAAGGGAAGATGCATTAATTTTGCAGTAAAAATCCCTGATATTTAATGAGAGTGGTTCAGTTAGGAAAACAGATGGATGAACAGGTTTATACCTCATCATATTTGCACCAGTCACAGCTCAAAATCTCAGCCTGGTGTGCTGGTATCACAAGTTTTACTCGTGGGGCTTTCACATCCCAAACTCTTACAGTCTGGTCCCCTGAAACAAAAGGAAATTAATTCAACATTGTTGAATCAGTTACGGGATACAGTTAATTCACTAGTACTTAGTAGACAACTGCTTCTGACCTGTATGAAATACAAACTACTATATGAAGACACTCCTGCCAAGTAAAGCAAGCACATTATAGGCTCAGAGGCCAGATTGATGCACAAAAGGAATCAAAACTCACTACTGCTCTTTCATTAGGAAAAAACCCAAATAAGCAAAACAAAACCAAACACTTCATTTTTTTTTCTTAACTTTTTTTATTTTTTAAAGTCTGATTTGATTGAAAGGACGTAAGGTAAAATGCTTACATGACTTTCAATTAAAGGAGGAGTTTAAGGTCCATCTAAAAAAAGGGTTTAGAAAACCAGAATCATGAAAAAACCTTCTCCGCAAGCCAGCTTAGAAAACAGGCTTTTGGTACACAGAAAAGCAAGTAGTATCTAAAATGCAACTTAGCTGCAGATTCTTTCAACTAAAGGAAAATTTAAGACACATTACCTGTACTCCTCATGTGCAAAACCTGCACAGTTACTCTCATAATTGAAATATTGGAAGATAAAGTAATTGTTGCTGTAACTGTTACACATATTAAAGGCAATGTCCACTTTAACCTCAGATCACATACATACACCTGCACACGTGCACGCACAAACTCAAAGGTTTTCAGAGAGCTATGAACGGTGTCCCACTTAAGGCTGCAAATTACCTGAGCCTCTCTTTACCTTCAGTCAGAAATTTGTCTTCTACTCCTAAAGAACTTTAGCATTTGCGTATATCCTTCTAACAAATTCAGTTCATAATGGCTTACAAAGACCTGGAAAACTGCATCAGCTGACAAGACAACCATGCTTTTCACTTTTTTTTAATAGGGGTTCCCTTATTAACCCTGAATATTTAGCTCTGTATCAGCAAAACCTGATTCTGCAGCCCATTTGTTTACAGAGAGATAAAATTAAGTTCATGATTATGTCTATGTTCAACCAAGAGACAAAAAAAAGATCACTAGAGCTATATCCAAACATCCATGAAATTACTATTATTTCTTTACCAGTAACACTTCTGAAAATCCTCAAATAAGTTATCATCAATAATAGCAATTTCATGCTGTTTAGATACAAGCATTTTGATGGTTTGAGTGCCCAGTTGGTCACTGACCTTAAAATATACAGCTGGGCACCAAAATCGTACCTCTTTTCAAGAAACTGGCTACAGTTCAAACAAAACCATCCCTAGAATCACAACAATATTCCTATTCCTACATACCCTGTAGACTTTGCAGAAAGACCTAAAATGTTTTGCAATTTTTAATACAAAAATTAAGCTAGAAAGTGCTTGGTTCCACTATATGACACAAAACTGGCCTTATGGCTGTAGTACCAGACAGACAACAGGAAGCTTTGCTCTGATGGTTGGTGGGCTTTTCCTCAGACTCCAAAATGTAAGAGATACTGTACACTTGGTGGGTAAATTCCCTAACTGCGTGGTGGGAACAACACATGATTTCTCATGGTTTTCACTCCCCTCCCCTATTTTAATACTGTCAAGAGCAAGACTGCTGCTCAGAATAGTATGTACAACACTCCTGACAGTAACACCCTGCAGTCAGCTGAAGCCCCAAACATCACTATGGTGCTTATAAAAACAGGACAACATATGGAGAGGAAGAAACATGACCAGCAGGGTCTTGGCACAAGAAAAAAAAAAAGCTGGTACACCCATCCACCCACCATTAGTCCAACTAATCTGCTTGCCTGCAGAGGACAGATTTCAGTTTGAGCCTTAAGTCCATCTGAAATATTATAATGGACTTCTCAAAAAGCTTTCATTTTAATTTCATCAGATAACACAGATTTGAAGGGGAAATGCATATTTCACTGCAGACAAGATCATTTTTTCCCAAGCACATAAATGTACAAATTCAGGTGAACTGGAATTAACTGCTACAGAGATGGACCACAGTAGCATTATGAGAGCCAAAAACATTTGGAAAAGTCAGTTACTCTGCCAATAACAATTTTGACACTAAAGATACAATTGCTCCAATTATTTCTTTTCTAATAGAAAATGCTGATGCACAGGAAAAAGAGTTATTTTCCCTTTCTTTTTTTCTTTGAAAATGCTAGACTTAGCTGTTATTAATTCTGGCTGGCACTATTTGTGAGATGTTTTTAATGGAGTAACATAACATGCAAGCGAACTTTTCTGTGAATAGAACAGACTGAATTAAAGCCACAGGCAAGTTGAGCTTTTCCGTTTAAGTGGAAAAATCAGATTAATAGCCAAAAAAAAAAAAAAAGGTGGGGGGGGAACCCCAATGTAATCTTGCCATATTACATATTTTGACAGCCTTTTTTTTTTTTTTTTTACCTCAAACATCTTTCCATGGCCTCACAATATATGTATTTTTTCACATTTCATTTCAACAAAAAATGCAATTAAACACTTTGGAATTTCCACATTTCCATGATTCCTTCAAATCTGCATTACAAAGGATGCATTTCTTCCATATGGTAAAGCAGAAGTAGGACAATAATAAACAGTACAAGTAAAGCACACCTAGTACAATCATATTCACTAACAGCCACTTCCAGTTGGCATCCCAAAGTAAGCAACCACAAAAGCAGCCAACATTTCCCCCATAAAATACTTCTATTTTTGTAGGAAGCAATTTCTCTATGGCAACAGATTTTTGCTGGTCTGTTAGATAATTATGATTCCAGATTTGTTTGTATATTGTACTTGCATTCTTTCATTTTAATGAATATTTGTGAAATCTTGGCCGAACCAATAGAACTACACAATATATACTCATCTATTCAAAATTTTGAAAGAGATGCTAATCTACAAGTACATCACCCCATACATGGGATAAAGACTGCTAATGTGAATAACAATGCATGGCTGTGAAACGATACAGTTTATTTAAGATTTAAATTTCATGTAGGTTTTATACTGGCTTTTTACACACTGACGTATTTTACCCAAATCCATAAATCATAATCTTCTATATCCTGTGACAACAACCACCTAAGTCATCACTGTCAGACACTGCAGAGGTAAAACATTAACTTTAAAAAAATAGCTAGGTATTTGGAAGATTAATAAAAGTCCAAGAAACCTTAAACAACATCTGAAGGCAAAAAAGATTCTAACCAGGATAAATAAAACTTTTTTCAAGAAAGAAAGTACTGGTAGTTTAAAGTTTTATTAAAAAATTTTTTGGGGTGTGGGGTATTTATTATTTTTTTCGGGGGGGGTGGAGGTGGTTGTTGGAATTTTTTTTATTCTAAAGCAAGAAACCTGATCTGGCACTGTTCTCTCATCAAGAGAAAAAGAATAACAAACTAATAATATATCTTCAATTTATTATAGGAATTCAGCATAAAAGACAAGTATGGCATATATGGTGTTACATCACAGAATCATAGAATGGTGTGGGTTAGAAGGGACCTTCAAGATCATCTAGTTCCAACCCCCTGCCACAGGCAGGGACACCTTCCACTAGACTGGGTTGCTCAAAGCCCCATTCAACCCAGCCTTGAACAGTTTCAGGAATGGGGCATCCACATCTTCTCTGGGTAACCTGTTCCAGTGTCTCACCACCCTCATTGGGATGAACTTCTTCCTAATGCCTAATCTAAATCTTCCCTCTTTTGGTTTAAAGCCATTACCCCTTGTCCTACCACTACACTGGCTTTTTTAAAAGTCAAACCTCGATTAAATTACTTCTGTAGTCCCACCAAATGCTTACAAGTTAACATTACTTGCTTACTTGTATGTACTTTTAAATACTAAACCAGATTAAATGATTTAGGCACTACCTGTACCAGCAAGGGGGTGGTGATGCACAAGAGCTGGGAAGGGACACAGGAGGTAAAGCTGACCCCAACTGAATGACGGGATATTCCATACCATATGACATTATGCTCAGCATATAAAGCTGGGAGAAGGAGGAGGAAGGGAGGACATTCAGAGTGATGGAGTTAGTCTTCCCAAGTAACCATTACGTGTGAGGAAGCCCTGCTGTCCTGGGGACGGCTGAACACCTGCCCACCCATGGGAAGTGGTGAATGAATTCCTTGTTTTGTTTTGCTTACATGCGTAGCCTATACTTTATTATGATACTGTCTATCTCACAACAAAACCCCACGAGTTTTCTCACTTTTACTCTTCTAATCCTCTTCCCCATGCCAATGTGGGGGGAGTGAGTGAGTGGCTGTGTGGGACTTGGTTGCCAGCTGGGGTTTAAACACAACAATAGTATAAGCGAACCTAGAACAGGATTAACAAAGCTCATGAGATTCCACACAAAGAGAGCTACAGAGTGACACAACAGATTACTGAAATCATCCAACAGGACTCCACTGAATACAAAATATCTATTTCCATGTAGCACAACCTAGATTCCAAGTAAACATAATTACCAGTGGAAACATAGTTTCCAACTGGTATTTTTTCAGTTTCATACAAAATGCTGTAGAGATAAAAATCAGAAGAGCTTTAAGTTATTTCACAGAAGGGCTCTATTGACTCTTTTTAAGGAGAAAGTAAATTGTAAAAAACAAACAAAAAAAAGGTGAAAACTTTTATTTCAGTGTTTTCCAATATAATTAACCATAAATCTTGGGACAAAGTTTTTATTTCAAAATTGACCTTACTTATGACTTACTATTAATCCATTCTTCAGCAAATAGCAATATTGGCTAGATACCCAAGTCTAACCCAAACAACCCAAAACATATTAATTCACTGTAAAAAACACTTACTGTACTTTCCTTCTCAACACTAAACCATACAATACGAGATTATAATATAAAATAGTGTAACCTGAAAGCCCTGCAGAGAAGGACTTGGGGGTGTTGGTCGATGAGAAAATGAACATGAGGTGGCTTCAGTGTGCGCTCGCAGCCCAGAAAGCCAACCGTATCCTGGGCTGCATCAAAAGAAGCGTGACCAGCAGGTCGAAGGAGGTGACCCTGCCCCTCTACTCTGCTCTTGTGAGACCTCACTTGGAGTATTGTGTGCAGTTCTGGTGTCCTCAACATAAAAAGGACATGGAACTGTTGGAACAATTCCAGACGAGAGCCACGAGGATGACCAGGGGGCTGGAGCACCTCCCTTATGAAGATAGGCTGAGAAAGTTGGGGCTGTTCAGCCTGGAGAACAGAAGGCTGCGTGGAGACCTCATAGCAGCCTTCCAGTATCTGACGGGGGCCTATAAATATGCTGGGGATGGACTCTTCATTAGAGACTGTAGTGATAGGACAAGGAGTAAGGGTTAAAACTTAAACAGGGGAACTTTAGACTGGATATAAGGAGGAAATTCTTTCCTGCTAGGGTGGTGAGGCACTGGAAAGGGTTGCTCAGGGAGGTTGTGAATGCTCCATCCCTGGCGGTGTTCCAAGGCCAGGCTGAACAAAGCCTTGGGTGAGATGGTTTACTGTGAGGTGTCCCTGCCCATGGCAGGTGGGTTGGAACTTGATGATCTTAAGGTCCTTTCCAACCCTAACTATTCTATGATTCTAGCATGTGCTGCATACAATACTTTGCTATGGTTAGCACATATTATAAATTGAGGCCCAAATTCATTTCCTGAGAAATATTTCAGCTTGCACTTTAGAGGTTGATTTAGTAAAGCTTACTGAGCACAAGACTCAGATTAATTCAGTTCTGTGTTGGTATGTCTTGAAGCAACAGATTGCAAATGAAAATACCCACCTTACTTCAATACACAGATTTGACACAATACTATAAGCAAGCAAAATAAGCAAGCAAATTATATTTTCACGGCTCCTAGTGTGAACAGTAGTTTAGCTATACTGCAACAAAAAACAGGAACTCTGTAGTCAGCTTGCTATCTAGATGCTTGATTTGTAAACAAGGCACCATGCAGTAAATTGAAGCCTCTTATATTCTTTTATCCCTTGAGGAACTGGATTCAAGAAATGACCAACTTTTGCAAAGCCTTGACACTTCATAATGATGGCATTTCTTTTAATACACTCAACAGGTAAACAGCTAGGAAAGAACTTGCAAGAAGCAAAGAGTGGACCCACACCACACACAAACTAATGGAATATAAGCCTCAAATAGTGTTTTCAAACTCATGACAAACCATGGCAGAACAGAAAATTATTTCCTTCAGTTTTTTAGGAACCTGAACACAAACATCTTTGGAATTACTTGTCTGCAAGCCCCACTCCCCAACAGCCCCTTGTTTTGCCCTGTGCTGCTTCTGAAGTAGGAACATAATCTGAAGCTTGAGGAAGCTGAAGACAAAGACACAACCCCAAATGTCCACATGGAAAATACTTCTTTACTGAGGAGCTGCACTGAGAAGTATTCCTTTCCAGCTAACTCAGTAACCATCCACTTCATAGATGTACAACTTCCCCAGCTCATTACTTCATGCAAACAAATTTGTTAATTTTTAGTCTTCTTTCACAGTTTGGATCCCAAACACAGAAAGGCGTGCCAAGACTACATGCCAGCCTGAGTTACGAAACTACGAGCTTGACAACCCTGTAACTACACACATTTGTCACTAAGAGACCAGTAGGGAAGAAGACAAACTTTTTAAAAGGCAACACACTATGCCAGGGCTGGCAATCAAACAGAACATGAAAAAACCTGTATTTTTAAATTTTAACCTTAAAACCTAGCACTGGATGCAAGGGCTTCCAAAGAGCGGAGCTTAGATTTACGAGTTCCTTTGTAAACCAGCACATCTGTAGTTCTCAAACACTTTCATCAACATAACAAAAATTTCTTAGAAATGATCACTCCTTGTTGTAGCATAAGTAATTTTGTTTATTTCTGCCCTGGGCTTTCAATCTGAAAAAAAAAATTAGCCTTTGAGCAGAGAATGCAATTAATTAATCTAAATACTGATGAATATAGACATTATCTTACAGATTTAAGAAATGCTTCTTTCCCTTATTAATGATTTAAGATGTTAAAAAAACTATGTATCTGTCCTGATCAGTAAACTTAAGGAGAGCACTAATGTTTTTAAAGTGAATGCAGCATTAAAACTGAGGTCCCAGCAGCTAAGATAAAAGCTAGCATTTGGTCTAAATCTGGGCTTTGCTGAATCCAAACCATTTATATTTTCATTTGCCAGTGTCATATCTGTACCAAAACATACTACAGTTATGCCAATAAGGGTAAAATGGTACTAATTAATTACTTCCCACTGTTAAATTTGAAGGGCAATAAAAATAGCTGATACTATAAAGGACAGCTTCTTTATAAACCACAGGACCAGGCAAGGCCTTTGCAGTTAGGGAGAATCATTGAGCAGAACTGATTTACACTTGACTACACAGTAACTTTGTGTGCATTTGGTACTGTCTTTATGTGCCTCTCACCGATTTGCTCTCTTGGGTTGAAAAAAAAAAAATTGGAGAGAGAGAGAGAGAGAGAGAGAGAGAGAGAGAGGGAGAGACCTTCTGGGCAAATGACACAATGACTCAAACCCTTTTAGCCATGAAGATGCTGTTAAACGTTTATGTCAAATCTTTAATGACATTTTCTATATCAGTGTTTTTTTGAGCGTAAGGCAGACATTTACCAGGGCTCTGGTTTGGTGCCGCACGTACACCTGAACATCTTGCTTATCTTATCAGCTCAGAAATTGTTGCTGACATCACAATAGCAGTTATTTACATACACAGAATTAAGTTTGTTCTGTTACTATTAACTCCCAATTTTAAACAAAGGAAAATGGTAAGCCATTTACTTGCTTTCTGAAAATACAAATGATTGCATGTGAAGACAACAGCATTTTAAAATTCCTCATGCATCCCTGTAAATGTTAATGGAAGTGTATTAGATACTGAATGAAAGCTAATTTAACTCAAGCATCAGACATATTTATCTTCTCTAATTCAACTGCATTTTACTGCCCACTGCAGACAAACTTAGTTTTCCTGCATGTATTCAGATCGGAGACCTAATGATGCAAAATAACTACCCTTAGTATCAAATTATTTTTCAACTGCTTTATATTGAAGTTTTAAGTTTCTCATTTTCTTCACTCATATTCTTTTTCTAGTCTCATAATAGTTTGAGAAAAAGTCATATCCCAAAAGCAAATATTTAACCTTATTAGCTTCATGCAAAAGTTGTCTAGGCATATAATGGTCCTTCTGAGCAGCTGTTCTACTGTGGCTTACAGTCATGTTTGGTTTTCTGTTTTCAGTGTTTACAAACTAATTATCTAAGTGGAAATTAAACTTCTGCTGACATCTATGTGGATTCAAATAATGTCAGAAAAAGGGCAGGGGTGAGGCATGCAAAAGGTTCCTAAATCTCCTTCTCTCTTTCTTACCTTATTTAAAATAAAAAGCAAAAAAAAAGTGCTGGCTTTACTTAAATTTACTGAAATCACAAGCATTTCAAGACCAACATTTCCTCCAATCTATGGTTAACAACGCACCTAACTTATTTTGCTAACACACTCAAAACTGAAAATGCTGCAACATGAAACAGTTCATTTCTGGTCTAAAGTGCTAAGACTTTATGCTATTAAGATAATAAGTAAGTACATGGTTGTGAGTAGGTATCTGTGATGTAGGATAAGAGAAAGGGAACAGAAAGGGCAAGAAAGAGAGAAAACACACACACACACACACACTATAAACCTAAAGCAGCACAGCCTCCTTCAAAGAGGGGATGTTTCAACATCCTTCAACAATACCCTTCAAAAACATTTTGTTTTACAAGGGCTAAAAGAACTAAGAGAAGTAAAAGGAAGTACAAAGTCTCCCTTCAGACACATTTTCAGTTACTACCTTTGAAGACAAAGGCTTGAAATCAGAGAAATTTAAGCCACTGGAGCTAATCTACCAGTATTTGAATTAAGGTAGTGTCTTATTATCCCTCTACTTCCCAAGCAAGCTCTATGGCTCACAGCACCCATCACCCAGTTAGCCAGCAGCTAGGCTCCAGGTCTTACTCCAGAGTTGTCTCTCTGGAGCAGGAACAGTGTTTGGACACGTGAGGAAATCTGAACAAAAAATGTAAGCCAGAAAAAGAATAAAATATATAACATGATTTAGTGGTCAATAACAAGAGTAAGGTGGATGGAAGAGAGCTACATAAAATACCCGAAAGAAATTGTCACAAGGTCACTAAAATAACTGCTGGAAAACTGCTGATCCCTGTTTAAATGGCCAAGAGGATGATTTATAGATTGGAACAGAACCTACAAATCCAGCTGCAGCGATGCATTTATCTTGCCTTTTCCATTTTAATGCATGACACACACTACCATCTGCTGGACAAAGAGCCAAACTAATCCAATAACATACAAGGGTTTTTTTTTGTCGTGAAAACCCCTTTATGATCATGTTTACCTGACGCAGATGCAAAACAACCTGGGATGTGTGGAGACCATATAGTGCTGTAAATGACACCTTCGTGGCCTTTAAAAGTGCACAGTGACTTCCCCACAGCTGGATCCCACTGAATAAAGTAAAAAGAAAACTGTTGAGGCACACATTCAATAAAGAAAGGAAAAGGTTTCATACATACAAAACTTTATGCAGAAAGGACTAAATGAACTTTTTACCATGTGTCATGAAAAGCATTTTTATATTTAAACTGGTATCAACTGAGGGATAAAGCAACATATCAGTTAAACCAGAATTTCAGCCACAGTGTAAAAGTAAAGAGGGAAAGCGAATCAATGCTGTTTCTTAACAGAAAGAACTCTCACACCCAAAACAAATCCCATTTTCCACCTCAACATACCAGCTTCGCTGTTTGATCCCATGAACCAGACACCACTAGCTGTTCTCCTCTAGTTTGGCTCCAGTCAACACTATATGCCTATAAATGATATAACAGCCTAATTTAGAAAGAGCATTAGAATACATATCTGAGACTCTAGTCAGCCAAAATTTCACAAAATAGACTTGGATTTACAGATTGTATCACAACCAGCTAAGGAAACCAAATCAGATAAGTACAACAAAGCTTCCAACAATGCCATTTACCTTAACAAAAATTTAACTTAACCTCCCAGTCTGACATTAAAGAAACACATAGGCTCAGAAAAGTACCCAAAAAAGGTAAAGATGGGCCAAAATAGAGAGGGGAGAGGGAATTGTAATAAAATTCACATAGACCCACCATCACTGTAAGCTTCTACCACTTAAAAAAGCTGTAATTCAGACTGATCTATTGTATCTGATCCAATTTATTCAAATATCTGGAGTTTCTAGTTGCTAGCAGTGAAATTTTCTGTCTCTTCAGAGCTGACTACGGAGTTGACTTCGAGGTTTTAGCTAACAAGAAATGCTTTTTCTTATGGTATCTAATTCTCCTAAGAAATACATGTCATAAAATACTCCTGATTTTCATCTTGTCCAGGTTCTATGACATTCTTTTTTTACCATTCATCTCGTCAAACAAGTAAAATAAACAAATCAACTTCCCTTGTGACTAATCATCTCAGCTATTTAAAAACTGCTTTTCCCTGTGTAGTTGAAATAAGCTCCCTCTTCTCTGACAGTTTATTCTAATGCTGGTTCGCACTTGACAGAGGATCTCTCTCCTTAACTGCTGATTTTTCAGCTCTGCTGCCTCAACCGAAAAAACGCTGTAAGGTAGTTCTTCAAATTACTTCAAATCTGAAAGTCTCAAGACCATGTACAACTTCCATCATGAAATGCACCGTATCTTTTATGTACTAATGGAAGCTGCATTCTATACTGTCTAGTTCCACTCCATACTAAAATGTCTCAATAAGCTGCAGTGGGACACGAACCATATCAGTCCTAAGGTGGATAGATATCAGCTAAAACAGTTCATTTGCTTAACCTCCTGACCCAAACAGACCCACCATGACACTTCTCAGAAATGTGGCCACTACCTACCAATAGTAAGTGGCACTGTGCTAAACAGCCAGGCCAGTAACCACTGAAAGTTTGTACTCCAGCTGGGACAGTCTAGTTCTAGCACAGCATTAGATCTAATTTGCAAGTCAACATACTAGATGCTGTATTTGTCTTGGATAGATGGAATTGTGCATCAAATAACAGCAACCCTGTTTTGAAGGTGAAAATGTTTGGACCTGTGTCACCAGACAAAAACAGCAGAGGAAGCTAGACCAGGAAAAAAATCTAGCAAAAGCCAAAGTCTTCTATGGGAAGTGTACTGTATGAGAAAGAAAAACAAGGAATCATTTAGCTAGTTCTGAGCATTTTCATTCCTAAGCAATATTTCAATCCATGCTAGATCCAACTTAACCTGTTTTTCATCTATTGGCTTATTTCCCGTAAGTGGAAGGCAACCACTGCCCACAAACTGGATTTTCTACAACCTTCCTTTTTCATTTTACAATGTCACACTTCTATATACTGAAAGGCATATTGCTCTGGCACCGGTTTCTGCTAGCTCCTTTCCTTAGGGACCTTATAATCCAAATGCACAAGACATTTGAACATTACCTTCACAAACACCAAATAACAAACTAAGAGTCAATTCTTCTGTTTGTTTTTCCAAACAATGCCTTTACCTCTTGGTTTTTCTACTTTCATCAGCTAACTACCAGTACTATAGCTCATTAGAACACCCTCCTTTTCAACCTGACTCCTATCAGAACAGTAACAAAGGAGACACACAAGTACCTGTTTACATTTTAAGAAGGGAAGGCATCACAGTTCTCCAAAGTGGCACCCAAACTCCACATAAACATTACCCTCTCTCCTTCCCCCTGAATCTGTCTTCACCTTTTAAGCTGTTGTTGTTCGGAAATGCCCCTAAATGTATCACTACATAATGCTTAATGCTTCTTCCATGTGATACTTAGTTCTCATATGCCTCAACAGCCTTATAAGTCATCTCAATTGAAGTGTTTGGCTCTTTTACTCATGTCCAGGATCTCCCAGAAAGAAGTAAGTGTGAGAAATATACACCCATGCCAGACAATTCACCCAGCCCTACATATTTGGGATGTATCAGATCTACTGCACAGACAAGGCAAAGCACACATATGGCTTACAACTCACTCACAAGCTATCAGCACACAACTCTGTTGAACATGTGCTGTGACATGGATCTGCGTACATATGGCAGACATGTTTAGGACTGCCCAGCCCTCTGCAGCTGCATCACAGGCAATGGAACCTGGGCAAATTTTCCTTCAGGCAAGAGTTACAAGCAGAACAGACAACAGGCTAGGAAAACCCAAGAGCTGTTTTCTATTTGGCATGTGACAGGTGTGGCTGATGGGAAGAGAATGAAAAACAGAAGGTGTTAAAACCTTTGCTTTTCATGCTATCATCCAATATTTACAGATGCTTCAATAGAAGCTGTGTTGAGCAATTGGAAAAGCCTAGTAAGACAGAATAAACCTTCCCTGTTAATCATAGAATCATAGAATAGTTAGGGTTGGAAAGGACCTTAAGATCATCAAGTTCTAACCCACCTGCCATGGGCAGGGACACCTCACACTAAACTGTATCACCCAAGGCTTTGTCCAGCCTGGTCTTGAACACTGCCAGGGATGGAGCATTCACAACCTTCCTGGGCAACCTATTCCAGTGCCTTACCACCCTAACAGGTAAGAATTTCTTCCTTATATCCAATCTAAACTTCCCCTGTTTAAGTTTTAACCCATTACCCCTTGTCCTATCACTACAGTCCCTAATGAAGAGTCAATCCCCAGCATCCCTATAGGCCCCCTTCAGGTACTGGAAGGCTGTTATGAGGTCTCCACGCAGCCTTCTGTTCTCCAGGCTGAAGAGCCCCAACTTTCTCAGCCTATCTTCATATGGGAGGTGCTCCAGTCCCCTGATCATCCTCATGGCCCTCCTCTGGACTTGTTCCAACAGTTCCATCTCTTTTTTATGTTGAGGACACCAGAACTGCACACAATACTTCAGGTGAGGTCTCACAAGAGCAGAATAAAGGGGCAGGATCACCTCTTTCGACCTGCTGGTCACGCTGCTTTTGATGCAGCCCAGGATACGGTTGGCTTTCCAGGCTGCAAGCGTACACTGCCAGCTCATGTTCATTGTTTAATCTCCTAGTGCTTTATCTTCAATCATAAAACACATGATGAAAAAATATACAGAAACATAATAGTTCAAAAATAAATGTTTGGGCTCACTTTACAAGACAAATTTAATTCAAGCATTCTTTTGTCTCGCATTTCAGTGAGACTTCATCAAAATGAAAGTAAATTAGATTAATTTATTCATGAGATTCAGCAGTTGGTTAGTGCTGTAATAAAACTCATTGTCTTTTGATAGTAAAGATGCGCTTTGAAATTAAAAATGCACATTCTTTTTGAACTACAGACAATGACCTCATTTAGAAAACAAGAAACAGATCCCTGTCAGTCTTGCATTCGAAAAATTATAAAGTGCAGTGACGAAGTTGTCATTAGAAATGTCAGAAGGGATTAAGTACTAAGAAGGTAGTCAATCATTCTAAAGAGCATTATCTGACAGTGTTTACCACAATCTATTAGGTATATTCCCCCTGGGATCTATCCTGTTAATGCATGTTTATGAAGAGTCAACACAAACCTTTCATATCTCACAATAAACACTCAGCCCATGCTTTCTATACTGTCTTCCTAACTCATGGTTGACTGAATTCACCTCCCCATGCTACCTGCTGAATTAAGACTTGGACACAGAAACGTTTATTTCACAAACAACAGATGGTGTAGCTGAACAAAAATAAACTTATGGATAGAATTTCGAAAGACAAAAAAAAACCCAACCCAATTTGTTATTATGCTTTGCCTACGTCTTTCTGTTTCTCCCATCAGCCTCTGAACACTATTATAAAATCCCGATCATAACTACAAATCCATCTCTCAAAATGCTTTATTTACACAGTATATGTATTAAACCAAAGTAGCAAAATAACAAAGAATTCAGGTACAAAAGACAGCCTGTCACGTTACTGCAGTCTTTGGGAATACAAAACTGGATTTCCTCCATCATTTTTTATTGATTACACATCCATTAGATAATTTTATTAAGATTTATGTCATTTAGATAGTGTCAGCAACCCAGGCTGACTGCATCTAAAGTTCAAAGAGAGTGGATGGTTAGAAGGAAAGCATGGGGAAAAAGAAAAAAAGTAGAAAAATCAGAATCACTTGGGAGAAGATAAATATACTAAAGCATAAATGTCCTGAAAAGATGCAAATACAATTATGAGTATGAATATAACACTTTACCGATATTGAACTGCATAAAGAAACTGTATCAAACCAAGGCTAGAAACCCCACATGCTGCCCCAGTATTTGGCTACTGTTACTTGAGTAGGATCTCACAGGTACTAGGATGGAAAATGATAAGCAGCTCCCACGTACAACAGAAGTCCTAAGGATCTCCATTATGTTTATCATTCTGTCCTCAAGGATAATACTGCTATATGGAGGGTTGGAATTAGATGATCTTAAGGTCCTTTCTAACCCTAACTGTCCTAAGATTATATACATCTGCTGTCTGATTTAGACCTATCCAATAATGCTCTCTAAATATCACAGAAAGACTGCAGTACTTTCATACAACACAGTGATTACTTAGCCTGTAAGAAACCACAAAAGCTGTATCTGAATATATTGGATTCATGTAATTAAGTGGTACCTACTACAGGGTATGAGTGTATATATAAATATTTACAATAGACAATTTATATTCAAAATAATGTTAAGTTATAAATTCAAACCATCAACCCAAATAAAATTAAAAAATAGACAACAAAACCCACTTTTGACTGTAAGTCCACAAATAAATCTTTTAGTAATTCAAATATTAGACTGTCCATTAAATTTTTCATGTTTGCCTGGTTTACCTCCTGAGTGTGCTCTTTATAGACTTGCAGCGGACCTTTGGCTTTAGCTGTATCCCAGATTTGCAGAGATCCATCTCCACTAGAAGTGATCAACACATGTTCATTATTTTCACTCCAGGTCACATCAAACAGGCCATCATTCCAGTCAAAACTAAATTGGAACAATAAAGACATTTTCCATGAGAAAGCATAACATCAAAGTCTAGACTAGTTACATGCAAATACAGCATTTCTTTAAGTCACCCTCTTTACCACCCTAAACAGCATTTTTATATATTAGTTTCCAGTAAATCCCTTTACAAATAACTTGTCATAGTATCAACTTATACAACTGTATGTCAGAATAGGTTAAGTTAAAGCATAAATGAGCCAAGGACCTTCCACAAACAGAGAATTAAATCTGATTTCAGTCTGAAACGTGTCAAGCAGAGACAGAGGTACCACATGTCTCAGTCTAATCTATGGTTTCTCCAGGGTGTTGCTACAGAGGTAAGAGCTCTTTGCCTGCAACAATTGTGGTAAAGAAAGAAAACTGTGGTGGGAGAGCTCTATCCAGTTGACAACACCATTAGGAAGCTGAGTCACACCCTAAAACCAACACAAAGACAGTCATGAGCACATTAAAGAGCTATACATTCCCTTAAAAGTGCTTTCAACATGCCAACAATTTTATCATATGTGATCTGATACCGTATGTTAGTTGCTCTGCAACAACTATCACTGACCCTGCTGTTATCTGATGGCAAATATGAATTTGTTTACCCCCTTTTCACTGAAGGTTCAGCTAAGTTCAGGTTAAACTTCATGGCACCCTGCAGTAATGATGAGAGAAAGGCATGCACACAGAATGTTTCAACAGAGAAAATGACACAGCTTATGAATCAGGAAATTGAGTAACTTTCTATCACAAAATAAGTGCAGTCATTTGAAACGTAGAAATGAACAGTACTAAACCAGTGCACTTAGCATAACTAACAACTTCAACAAGTCTTGCTTTATAATTAGGAATTAAACAGTTTCTCGGAATATGATTAACTACTTGTTAAGCATTTCTATTTCAGCCCTGTTAATCTAAACAAAACTGCTGTTTCAAAACTTCATTTAAAAAAAACTTTAGGGTTTACTACTTGACTGCCGTTGACCTAACCTCTCTCCTCCTCGCACCCAAACCCAAATCAAACTCCTCTCAAACCCTTAAAATATTGGATCTCCTAGGAAGGACCTCTATGACTTTACAGAGCTTCCTGCTGCATTTTCAGTACAAGTCAATCTTAAGGGCATAAACTTAGATGGCAATATGCTCTTCCTAAAAGGTTAAAACTTTTCATTTAAAGGTAGGGCAGCGAGGCTGTTTTTAAATTTACACTGTGAGTTTTCTGTAAAATGCTTTATATTATGGAAAGGGTGCAATCTGGATTACTTCCGGTAACAAAATCTGTGGAATGTAAATCTCTCATTTGTATGTAAATACAAATAGAATCATACGTATGTAAATACAAAGACACACATTCAGTAGATACTGCAGCATGGATACAATACTTCTTATCACTAACAACAACCCAAAATATTTGGGTCGCATCTTGTACACACAGGTACATAATAAGATTTTCTCTTGTGAAAACAAAACACAAAACCTATGTTACCTTTTGAGTAGAGCAATGCCAGCTTCATTTTGTTCCAGCACTGCCAGAGTCCCACAGCCTAAACCAGCAAAACAGAACAAAATAACACAAACGAGTTCACTCATGCCAAAGGAAACTACTGGGGTTCTTAGGTAGCTCCAAAGAGCATCCGAACTTTAAGAGACCAAACAACTAGTTGCATAAAAATAAACATCCTGCTGTCTCAAGTTCTCTAAACAGTAATTCATTTACATCAGATTGGCTTTTGTTTTGTTTTGTTTACTCCAGTATACCTGCAGATGAGTTTGGAAAAGAAACACTTCGCTTACAAAGCACCTAAGTGCATTTCCCCTATGAGCCTCACATTACAGACATACCAGCATGGAGTTCCTTTTTATCTTTTTTGATAACAGAGCAGACATAAAACTCTTTTTTTCTGCTGAACCTAGTAATACAAACATGGTTCAACAGAAATGAAACAATTTGAGAAAACACACACGGGTGCTGCTTTCCCATGTGACTGGGATATCGTCAAAGTCATTCCACATTTAGAAACTTATTGAAAATCATTTATTTCAGCAGCAATACTCCCATTGGAAAAAACAAACAAACAAACAAAAAAACCCCAAACAAAATAAAACAATAAACAAACAAAAAAAACCAACACCCCACTGCTAAGCTCTGCTTGCGTTTTCAATGGGACCGTAGAGTCACAGAATCACAGAATGATGTGGTTTGGAAGAAACCTTCAAGATCATTTAGTTCCAACCCCCCTGCCATGGGCAGGGACCCCTCACAGTAGACCATGTCGCTCAAGGCTCTGTCCAACCTGGTCTTAAACACTGCCAAGGACCGGGCATCGCCAGGACGTGTCCGGACACTCAGTGACTCTGAGAATAAAGAGTTAAAATTTGAAGGATGAACTATTTTCAGGACATTTTAGTCACACTGGATACGTCTCTACCACTACATTTACTCTCGACCCTATTAAATTAGTACTCCCCTGCGAGGGTTTTGAGAGACTACCGTCAAACCAGCGGGTTTGCGCTTTCCTCGGTCGGAGGACCCGCCGGGCCGGGCAGCTCAGTGGAAGCACCGGCCGGCCGCCTGCTCCAACCTTAGCCCCAGCTCGGCTGCACCAGTGCGGGACAAAAGCAACGTGAAATCCCCAAACGCTTCCACAGAAACTGACTGTCGAGGCGGACACCCAGATTTCCAGCCACTAAAGAGCCCCCGTGACGAGCCGCCACCGAACAGGGACTTTAACAAATACCCTCCCTCTGCCCCCCGCCGCGGAAGCCCCGCCTGCACCTGCGATGCCGTAGTACTGCGCGGCGGCGCAAGCCACGCGTCCTGGCCAGTAGGGCGAGAATTCCACCGCGTAGCCGTGCAGCCCCGGCAGCCGCAAAACAGCTCCTCCCGTTGTGCCCATGTTTCCCGGCCGGGCCTCCACTGAGCCCTGCCGCGCTCGCGGCCCCGCCGGAAGCGCCCCGCCCGACGGGCGGTGCTGAACGTGTGGTGCCGGCGCCGCCATCTTTGGCGATGGCAAGGGGCGGACCCTGCTGGAGAGGTCGTCACTGCTGCCTCAGGGACCCCCTGCCTGGGTTGCAAGGGAGCTGCTGCTGGCTGTGGGTGGCCGGCCCCTTCTGCCGTGGCTGATGGGTCGCACTGTGACCGACCATAGAGGTGGTGGCGGCCTTGGGCCTCGGTAGCTTATTTAGTCCGTTGCAGTTTTGTCCTCTGACCGCCTCAGGGGAGAGCTGCAAACTTAGGAGGGCTACTGCGAAATTCATCACTTGGTACTCTTAGATTGTCATGCACCTTGATCTGCGGTTAAGGTCACGTGATCCCGACCAGGCTTTGGACCACTAGCCGCCGGTTTCTCATAAACAACTGTGCAAAATCACCCGTCTGGTGAGATGGAGGTGACTTCCAAACTTGAGACACAATCCATTCTTTTGTATTTTAACTAAGACATACATCTGCTTCTTGTGTGTACATCAGCTTGAACATAAGATGTCTCAATTATAGTGTAAATATGTATGTTACCTGTCATTTTCCTTTCAAAAACCCATTGTAAGGTATTTCTCTAGTTTCTTGGGTACATCTGCATGTTTTATCTGCATATTTATGCATATCTTGTGATACACTTATGCTAAATGCCCTTTTATGAACAAACTCATGACCTCTTACACCCATGACAAATTCTATTCAAGCCAGTGAGAATTTTGGCTTTGAAAGGAAGTGGGTAGGGGATGGTGTTCAGGTTTAGGAAATAAGTATTTCAGCAGAGTATCAGCTGCAGGTTTTATTACATTCTATCCTGCATATGCTGTACAGAACTTTAAATACAACAAGTATTCTAGTTGGACACAGACTATCCTAGTTAGTTTTAGTGACCCACCCAAAAGTGTAAAGATAAAAATGTAAAAGTATTATTTTACACATTAGGAAGGTACAGCGGTTACGTCATGGAGGTTGGAGGATATTTACATACTCTTGCTACTCAGCTTTATATTTAAAACTAAACCTTGGCTACAAAATCTACTGCAAAGCCACACATACTGCTTAAATTGGCACTCAAATGCAGATCCCTTAATTAGGCAGTTCTTGATCTCATGGTAAAAATGAAAACAAATATGCTATTGAACAGTCCCCAGGATTTTACAATCAAATCAATGCAAACCCACTGCAAGTGAAGCTCAATTTAGCGTATCATTGGGATTATCACAGCAGCTCCCAAAGCCTCACAACTGGCAATTTATAGGCTTAATTTATTGATAGACACAACATGAGTTATTTTAACCCTGGGGCGCTGGAATACCTTACGGAATTGGCTACTACAGGCCAAATTCCACTGATTTTAGCCTCTGTGAAATCTTTTTTTAATCAATGTATATTTTCAAAATCCAAATTTGTAGACAATTTTCAGAGAAAGTGTGTTTTTTTAAAGTAATTGCCCTTTGTGGCTGGGGTACCAGTAACAATATTTGAAAAGAATCACAGCCACTGTTGAGGTTCAGTAGGTTGATTTCGACATGGCCATTTGGGAGGTGGTGTTTGGGAGTCTAGTGCTTGATGGTAAAGTCCAGTTGGTTTATGGGCAATTTATTGCTGATAGATCTGAGTATTGTAAAGGTTTCAAGTCCATTTTCAAATCTAGTTGATCTTTTGTAATGAGTGAAATTCCACAAAGAGGTTACACAAACAGGAAGTTATTCTTATCAGTGGCCCAGCTTTGTTTTAAAGACAGGTTAAAAGAATTTTTGTAGACATCAAGATCAGGAAGTGGATAAAAGGTTACAAGGAAGTCCTGAGAGAAGGACTAGTCCCCAAAACATTCTTTTTTTCAGTCCGACTTGCGAATTTAGGCTTTCAAGATATTTAGAAGTAGGAAGCAAAGTAGTAAGAGCGAGTGGAAGTATTTGTGTAGGAAGATTTTAATGCAATTAAAGAAACAAAAGATATGTTCAAGCAAAGAGAGAAGGGCCCGACAAACAAAGCTGACAAACATGACAGCGTTTCCTCCTCAGCTCCGCCTGAGTAAATTCAGGAAACATGAAGGATCAGCAACCACAGGAGCATTTTATTTCATTTTTTATTATTATTTTACATGCAGCCATTGAAACCGGCCTCGCCACCGGCCGACACTGTTTATCCCCCATGCAGCGGTAGGTGGCAGCCACGTTCCACGTACAAACTGAGAGCCTTCGGTTCTGGGGCGGAATGCCGCAACTACACCGAGATTATTTTATTCCTAACCCAATATCACTTCAACGAATCAAAAATAAAATAAAGTTGCTTAGGCTGTAACTTTTCAGTTCACATTGGTACCCCTCGTTAGCATTAAATGCTAATTGAGATGCTTACAGCAATATCCTCACACTGGGTTGACCACTCTTTTAAATCCAATAAGCTCTGTTCTGTTACTAACACGTCCCTCATTTCCTCAGGTTGTCAGCTGACAGCTAAATTAGGTGTGAGTTGAGTTGGTGACCATCACTGATGTATACGCAAATCCTCCCAAAAGCTTTGCTGGGCCACACAAACAGTAATCAGGAAGGCTCAAGTACAATTAAACAAAGGTAAAAGAGCTTTCTACCAGAGAATTCTACCAGATTGTGAGCTCAATATCACTCACATGCAGGGACAGGTAGCTTAAAAAACTGAAAATACTCACAGACTGCAGTAAACATTTCTCTGTCTTAGTTATAGAACCATTCAGTAGGCTTCATGCCATCAATATTTTCTTCTACAATAATGAGCATTTATTGACTAACAGAAACATAGAGATGTTTGTTCCCAGCTGAAGTTCCCATATAGTCATTAAAGTTTTATCAGCTGAAGCTTTAAGGAAAGCATTTAGTTTCCCAAGGGTCACGATGAGATTGCAAAACTGGCAACAATGGAAATAAACAAATGAAATTAGCCAAGGGGGGTGCAGGAATGAATGTAAAGGGACAATGAGGGTTGTAGAAGTTGGAAGGAAAAAGCAGTTAGCATGGAGACTTTTCTGGAAGTTTAAAGTAACAAAATACGCAAGAGGAGGAAAGACACTAGAGCAGAGGAAGATTTAGATGAGGAGATTTAGAAAGAAACATGAGAATTGTTCTGGGGGGAAAGCAAGAATTGTGCACATTCTTCACTATGCTCACCAGACAAAGGCTCCAAGGACAGTTCTAACTGATGAAATACCCAAACCCAGTGATGTATCTGCATTGCTCTCTCAGCATTTGCTGACTGCCATTTATGTGCACCATGCCATAATTTGGTAAACAGCTTGATCTTGTTATTACTGTTCCATGATCTGCTGCTGCGCAGCAGTCTCTATTTACCTGATCCTTTGTGATACTTAAATACTTCTTTAAATGTTCAGTGTAATCATAGATTTACCTCTTTTTAAAGACTGGTGGCTGACTGCCTCATAATAAAATTACCCGCTTTCTAGTGAACATAAAGGCTGGTTCTGATTGTCTACAGTGATACCCTTACCCTAACTTTTAATTTAACTTTTTAGAAACGAGGTTTTTATTTTAATCATTTCTGCTGCTTGTGAGAGTTCTGGTCAGTAGCTTACAGAAATTGCTTTAGTTTAAGTACTTTCAAGATCTCACTTGGATTTTGTATCTGCAAATTTCTTGGCCTTTTCTTACACCCATAATTGAAGCATATTGGACTTCACTCCTTCACTCCGCCAAACTTCTTTGTCCTTCTTATCAGTGAAGAGTTTACGTGCATCTCCAATCTCTCATTCCTATATGTTAGTTATATTCCTATATATTAGTTGTAATGTAGTTAAGTAAGAGGCCGTTAAATTATGGATGAAATCTAGTGTCTATTTTAAACCCAGTATCTGTAGCGATGCATTTTAGTCCATTCTGTCAATTCTATCAGCACTACTACTAAAATTCAAAATGTAGATTAGTCTAGAATCATTTTTCTCCCTTAACTGGACACTAATGGCCATAATACGTGAAAAATATAATTTGGGTAGAGTTATGTTAAATGCATGTATGGTTTAGATTTCATCTCTGTAAATCTGGATACATTTGAACTACCTTTTTTGGTCTTGGGTCTTGTTTACACTAGTTTGAGTGGCTAAATCAAGCCTGTGTCATCCATCATATGTTGTCACTCATCAAAAATTGCATTTATATTGGCAACTAAGAAAGTTGGTGAATTCTTGGATGTTAAAACTATAATTGTGGTTAAACCTAGAGGCCAATGATGTATACCTGTAAAAACATAATGAAGAAAGAGTTGTTATTTCAAAAAATTTCCAGCTAGCTACCCACTCTAAGTTTTGTCCTTAGAAAAAAAACAGAGTTGGAACAGGGCAATACCCAATTGTGATTATATGCAAATCATCTGGTGCTGAATATGTTAAATTTACAGCCCTTTAGAAACAAGCAAACAAGGTAAGAGTACCTCTCATAAAACATGAGGTGTTATTAAAAAAACATTAAAAAAATCCTTGGAATTATTGTCTAATCAGATGTTAAAACACAAGAGCTCCTAAATGTATAATTGCTGACTTCAGAGAGCTTACAGATTAAAAGGTGTGTTTTCACTTTACAAAAACGTGGGCAATTTGTGTTTGTTATTCAAAAGCATTTTGAATAAGTCCTCCCTCCCCCCCGTTTAGGGTAAAGCCTCACTCCCATCCAAATCAACAGAAAAACTAACTTGAATTTGGAATAGACACGGTGTTGATAGTGAAGCAAGCCTCACAAGCCAGTAATGCTAAGTGGAATAGCATGCTGCTTCCGTCTCCTTTCAGTCCATGACTTCCTTCTGTAGTTGACAAACACAGGCTGTTCTTGAGAGCAACAGGGACATATTGTTCTTGCTTCCTGTAAGGTGATGTAACTGCAATGCTGAATGGATTAACACTGAATCTGCATTTTGCGGAAAACGACATAATTTAGAAAAACACTGATTGCCATTCAGACTGTAGCAAGAAACAATAACCTACTGTATCTGGCAATTAGCAAATATTAACTT